TGTATATTTTGAATAGATCATTTGACTGCCCACAGTCATGATTGTTTATGGTATCAAAGCAGATCAAGGATTCTCACTCCTTCATTAAGTAAGACATTTTGGTCCAAGTTGCAGTGGACTGATTGCCTCCTCCTCTGTGTCTGATTACAAGAGAAGACGTCTGAATGTTTAATACTGCAGAGCATCTGCAAAGAAAGCAGTGACATCAAACAGACGCGTTGCAACGATGCATACGTCCCTCATTTTGTCTGTGGTCGACTTGTTTTAGTGTAAATTAAGACAGATCAAATGTGCTAAATGTTCATGCATGTGGCCAATTTCTAGCAGCAAACACTGTTGAGATAAGTTAAGAGATGAGTCTTACAGGGGATTTACGAGTCTGATTTGGGATTGTTTGAAGCAGTCGTGACAGCAGTTTGGGGTTTCTTCACGTTGGATTGGAGGAGCATCGTTGGAGGAGGAGGGCGTGGCAGGTGTCACAGACTCTGACTGGTTTTGGTGAGGCAGGCAGAGGGAGCTCATTATCAGAGCAGCTGTTACAGAAAATCTCCCCACAGTTCCTACAGTGGTGCTGGAGAGAGAGAGAGACAGAAGGTCACATTATTAGCTTGTCTTGAGTGCACATTTATGGAAGCCCAGAACAGTTAGGAGATAAATCGACCCATTATCATAAATAAACAAAAGGTTGTTTCCTCTTATTACTTATAATGTTGATCAGAGATCAAGAGTGCCATACCAGCATGCATAGATGGTGTTTTGGCAACTAATTTAAGCTGAAAATATCAGTTCAAGGAGTAGCTATTACTGATCAACACATGAGACCTTAAAATCAGGTTTGATTAAATGAACACTTATTTTCTGTGTTCATTTAATCAATTATTTATGTTTTATTTATTTATGTTCTCCATTTTTTGTTTTCTTGAGATAACCTGTTATCACAAGAACATCTCGAGAATCCAGAGAGAACGCAATATTTAACTCGTGAAAATCACTGCAAGCACGGCCATAAAGATTAGCTGTCTTTTTTTAGATGTCATTTTCTGAAGACTGACCTTTCGTCTTGAGATGGAGAACTCCTTCTCACACAGCTTGCACTGGCTGGCGTCCTTGTCCTTCAACCAAACCTGACCCCCCTGAAACAACATGACACAGTAAGTCTCTGTTTCACGAACTTTACATTATAGACATCGCAGAACAAAACAGCATGCTTGACTAATGCAAAATCAGCCTTGTTGATTACACTTAACCAAAATGCAGGGCTTATGCAGAACTAGATATTTTTATCTTTTAATAATATCATATTTAACTTACCATCTTAGTGATGGAGAGAGTTTAGATGCTATTTGTATCTCTGTAACTCACTGTTTCATTACCTGAAGAGCTTTGTTGGCTTCTTTGATGTCCTCAATCTTCATTTTGGATCTGATGACAAAAAGTAGGTTTTCAAAAGCTAGTCCGGCTTCCTCAAGAAAACTCTCCTAGTTTGCAAGAATGTAAATTGGATGTGATTTTTGTATGAGCTAAAACATGCAAAACACTTCTAGGGATTACTTGAAATGTAAATTATGAAAAACTACTCCTTAGATTATTAGAGTGCACGTTTTACATTCATGTCATCATTCATGCATGTCATTTAGGAACTTTCTTTTTCTACCGAACTACACCCGCCAACCGTATCACTGCGCAGAAGGACGCATCTACTCATGCACTGGCTCGCTCAGTAGGCTAGCAAAAGGTACAGCTGAGCCGCGGAGGATGTCGTTCTTTACATCCTGCGCTGTCATGAGCATGAGCTTGTTATCCATGAGTAGATGCACGCTTCCTTCTGCACGACGACATGTGTAGTTCGGCGCTTTGAGCCGCACAAGCAGAGTCTAGTTCCATTATATTCAAGAGAAGGCAGACATCTCTACAGCCGATATCTCCAATACTCTGCAACTCAAACCAAAACAATCTAGATGGAAACAGCACTACAGGTTTTTGATTTGGGGGTGAACTGTTCATAAAGTACACATACTCGCTTAGTTTGGAGCCTAGTTCCTCCAGAGCTTGTTCTTGGTCCTCACAGATGGTCTTCAGTTGAAAGTTTTCATCCTGGAGACGATGAAACTCCTGGAAAAATAATAAAAACACACAACAACACAAGACACGTATCATAACAGATCAAATTACATCATATTCTGGCTCACACACACACACACACAAAGCTGTATACATAATAAAACATAGTGTACAATATATCATATACACGGTACGTTTCTTTCTCTACGTCTTTTTACCTTTTTGAGTCCGTTGATCTGCAGTGCCTCTGTGCTGAGCTGAGCCACCGTATCCCTCTCTCTTTCTAGATCGTTTTGTAACGTCTGCCTCCACTCCCTCTCTATTTTCAGGTCCGTCTCCAGCTGCTGGCTACAGACATGTTCATACAACACCAGTAACAAGAATAAAGATGACAAACAAACACAGAAAAAGGGATATAATGAGTTGAGTAACAGATTATATCAGAGCACACTGGTTTGTATACTTTTGAATTTTTGTCTTGGTTTTTTCAAATCACAACCAACAAGTACTGTGTAGGGGGAAGTCTGGTGTCTCCTCAGCAATTAAGTAAACACACTTGAGGCAGATGTGCAATGATTTCATTTGTTTGAATTGTTATTTACTGTTCCTAGGTTCAGGAATTAGAGCTTACAGTTTCAGTTCAAATGAGAACAGCTATCTTAACATGCCACACAGCTTACGGTGTAAATAGTATGTTAGGTCTGCCTGAGCTCCACAGCTTCTCTAGATTAAGTGTCCATATATGTCTGTGCATGAGTCTACCACTCTGTCTCTGTAGGGGTTTGGCTTACAGTTGCTTTTCTCTGTGCTCGATCTGCCGCTGCAGGCTGTCGGCCTTGTTGGCAAAGTCCAACTTGAAGCGTCTGGTTCCCTCCTCGGCCGAGGTGCGGTGCCTCTCTGCCTCCTGTAATCTGCACCATTATAACGAGGGACAAACTCAGGACCATGGAGAGAAAAAACTGAGGGGGTGGAGGGAGAGGGAGAAAAGAACAGGGGAAGACGGGAAGGAGGACGACTGGTAAGGAGGGAGGTTAGGGACTGAGGTTTCTGGGTGGGAATGTGAAGGAGAGATGGCTGAGGATAAATGAAGAAGGGTGGTGTTGTAATTTCCACTGTTAGAACAACAAAGGGTAAAAATGAAAAGAGTGCAGTGAGAATTGAATTCAAACAGAACAGTAAGGAATACAAAGGGGTGATGATTCAAAAGAAAGACGCATGATGAAACAATGCGGGGAAAACTGCCTTAAAGCAACTGAATAGAGAGAAAAAAAGAGGATAGCTAACTGAATGCAGCATCTTAGTGCACTCAGACCATGGTGTCTTTTTCAATGATAGCTTACATAGTCACATCCTTTTAGATTTGAAAAATATGCCAATGTTATTCTTTTTCATTCATATCATTGTACAGGGAGGAAACTTGTTTTCAGGATATGAAGATTTTAATAAAGTTTTCAATCTTGTTTCAGATCCATTTCAGATAACAATCCCACAACACATTGACTTACAGCAACTGACGAGAGCTTTATTACTCCTTAAAATAATATAATAAATGTTACAGTGTCTACATGTTAACAGCAAAACCAAAAACTCAAATCACACCCAACACTTTCAAAACATCTAACTTTATTGATCACGGTGGTAAAAGACAGTAGTTGTGAGTTTTCAACAGCTGTTCTGAGTGATTATTCTTCTACAAATTGAGGAGTTAAAGTACTATGAACACGGAGTTAGAATAGGTAGAATGATTACTTCCTGATCTATCACAAAAGTCAATAAATATGCCAAGACGAGACACAACAACACATTCGAGCTCCCTTGGCAGAAGCTCCAGAGGTTTACAGCTGTGTAACTACAATTCTTTACACCTGGCTCAGTTCTGTTCTACAGAGACGAAGCACATGAATTGAGCTGGTCTCACTGAGCTGTTTACATCTGCTAAAACTCAGTTTATGTAAATCTTTAGGAGGATGAAGAGCAAGAAGGAGACTGGCTGTGTCCAAAATCATTCATTTTTTACTGTAGAGTGCACTAGAGTTCCCAAATTCTGAGTGTGAAATTTACCCCCCTACCCCCTGAAATTTGCCCTCAAAAAGTCCATGTGCATGTCTACTACCTTCTGCTAACAATCCTACAAACTGCATAGTTACATTTTAAAATGTTCCTAAGTGTCCAAAATCTCAATTTATGATTCACTACAGAGTGAACTACTGAGTGTGTATTACAGAGAAAGAGGTGAGCGAACAATGGGCTGATTTCGGACACAGCGAGGGTCATCACAGCCAGTCAGAAGCAGGTCAGAGGTGCAGCACATGCAGAGCAAACTGGCAACAAATTAAAAGCAAGAGGCTGCACAAGCAAACTCCTGTCTGACATCTGGAGTGAACACCACTGACTGACTGTGATGAAACGCGGACAGCTGCAGGAACATGGTTGTAGTTTTCATGTTCCTGCTCGAGCTTTAGGTCTAAACCCTGTTGGCTGCAATAAGGTCAAAAAGACAGCAAAGCGCAAAATCACAAGTTACTCATCAATCTCTGCAGAGCCAACATGGATGCCACTAAGCAAGGGACTGTACAAAAATTACTTATTGAACATTATCTCTCCAGGGAGTCTTTTATTGGTGTGCCATAGCAGCTCCCACCTTTAACTTCATTCTGCATCTTTATTCAGAAAGCAGAACTACAGTAAAGTAAAAAGTAAAGTACGGCTGGAATATTTGGTAGACAGGACACATCATTTTGTATATTTGCCTTAGTTTGAAATGTAATTCCATTTCTATTGTGCAATTGGTAGCTATGTGAAGGGCATTATCTCATTATCATATTAAGGTTTAAACTGGAGTACACAACTTACATTATTTTGCACTTTTAGTTATTAATGATGAAAGTAATGGGAATAATCAAATATTACCCCCCTCCCTTCCCCAATCATTTTCATACAGTCCCTAAACGCTACAGGGCACTCGGCTCTGGGTGTTGCCACATAAACCACTCCGTAGTTGTGATACGAGTGGGAAAGCCCACTATACTCATTCTAACTCAATGTGAACAACAACTACCCTATTATTACATCTGAGAGCCAACTATCTTACTGTCAGTGTTACTGCATATAAACTGACTACTGAAGACAGGAAGAATAGTAGTAGTAGCATATGTATGTATTATTGTGTGAGTGTGCACAGCTGAGCATGTGAGTGAATAGATAAAGTAGCGTATGATTAATTTAAAATGTTTCTAAAGTATCTATTGAAGTACAACTGATGTAATATTCAGACCGTTCTCTGACCAGCTAAACCAGGACATTCAGAAGAAATATATCTTCATTTAGCTCAAACCCAGCAAAGTTTGTCTGATGAGGATATAAGATCATGAAACATGTTGCAGTGGTCTCTATGAATGCCAGCACTCTGCTGATGATCAGCATGTTTCAGTGACTAAAGCACCAACCCAAGTATTCCAGTTTCACCTGATTCTGTGGCTGCTCTCAGGCCATAAAACCATCTGAATATTGTGTGCAAAAAAACAGGAATGTTCCTTTAAGTTAAGTCCATTTATTCATTCAGTCATAAGCCATCGTGTGTCTGCGTCTGCGTGTATATGTGCATGTTGGTCCTCAGAAGGAGATGTCCTTGACTAGCTTGTACTGGTGCTCTGTGTCTGTGCTAGCACACTTAACAAATGACATAGCAAGCGTTCTGGTCTGACTTAGCAGATCCTTATCACTGCACAGAGGAGCAGGGATAAAATCGGCGGGGGTAAAAAAAAATAACACATGGAGGTTTCAAGGTAGCAAAATGAATGGATGGATGGTCGGATGGGTGGTATAAAAGAGACGAACAGAAGGGGGGAAAGAAGGAGGAAAGAAAGGAAGGAAGGAAGAAAGGATGTCAATACATCAGTATTCTAAGTGGCCCCGGTTACACTGAACACTTTAAGTGACTTTTAACATCACAAGCACAGAATAAAAAAGGCATTAAAAACACAGAAATCTGATTTCAGGCTGCCTGGTTCACACTGTCATCAGATTTCCTCAGTCTGGATCCCTCCACAGTAAGCGTATGAGTAATGAGAAGAGGTGAGGAGGCGAAGCAGGGAAAGGTAATGTGTACACATGAATACAACTACAGCGACAACAAAAACCGTGAAGTGTGCAAAGAACTTTACTATTAACACGAGATATTTAAGTCTAGAAAGCACCTACAATATTTATCACTACTTTATCTCTCTAAAGTAGACATGTTGAATTCTGAGGAGAAGATTTGTCACTAATTAGTTGGGAAATAATTTGATTTTAAACAGTGGTTGATCAGATCAGAACCTTTTCAAACCAGCTACAACAACACAAACCTCCCACTGAAAATAACGAGTGTAACCGGGGTCTGTGGCCTACCAGCCTACGTAAACCTTAAGAGCAGCAAAAAACATTCACAACCAATCACAAATAGGACGGAACAGATTTAAACCAATGGGACAGGGGAGGGGAGGGATGGACCATGTTGGCTGGTAAACAATGGGGTGACGAGGGATCATAGGGCATCAATGGACCAGCAGGTTACATAATGACTGATGCAGATATGGAGAATTATACACCGATTGTGGTGCAGTGGTGACAAAGAGAACTTAGCATGCGCGGAGATATCAGCAGTGTAATTTGTTAGACATGATAAATTAAGCATTGCAGGGTTTCCCCAAAGGAAATTGTTTAACAGATCCTGATGTATCTCGTCTTCAGCCTTATTCATTTAGTTAGTAGGAGATGGCCTAAACAGTAGCATTCATTATACAGTATGGCATCTGCTGTGTGAAATACTGCTTCTGCTCTTTTCCCCTGTAGGTTAATGTTTTATTTCACAGAAATGTGTTCGAGCTTTATGATGTAAGCGGAGACTTACAAGTGGGTCTTCAGGTGCCCTATAATACAATCTATCAAGAGGAATTGTACCAAGAACAAGCCTTTTGGATAATGTGAAAAAAATGCACAGCTAAAACTGCACAACTCATCTAAATAATAAAACCACAATATAGGCATGTGCAATATCTAAATTGTAGAAGCTGCAATTTTTTGATAAAAGTTCAAATGTGTGACAAAACAGCCTTATAATAAAGTACTGTAGTGCTGCAGAGATGCCCTGGCCTACAAATCTTGTTCTTGTTTTGCACTACAGACCTCAACAAATGTCACATCATCATAATTCTAATAGGTTATTCAGTGAAAATGAAAATTGTGATGCATTAAATGACCTTTCCCACTAATTGTGAATAATATCGCAATCGTGCTATCTGTCCAAATAATTGTGGTATGATTTTTTTTTACCATATCACGCAGCTCTAGCTAAAACGTTACTTTTTTCACGAGACAATAACAATGTGCTATTTTGCTCCAACCTTGGACAGTCTGGCTAACATGCAAACACTTTTAGAAAAGAAGGAGCTATTTCACATAACAGAGGCCATGACTACTGTTTAGACTGCCATCTATTAACTAAATAGATCAGGAGGAAAGTGGAACAATGACAGAGACTTCAATCCTATTACACATTACAATGTCAGGTAAAACAAAACTTATCATATCCCTTTTGTTTATAAAGTTTTGTAATGTGGAACATTTTGTGTTTGTTGGACACAGAAAAGAATTTAGGAAGAGACAAGGATTACCAGCTTCTAAGACATTTCTGAGGGGAAACTCTGAAACAGTGATGAGGAAAAAGACTCCCAATGCCTTCTCCAGTTTTCTTCTGCATAGCTTCAAACTAAACCATGCAGAACTCTTAATAAATATGCACTTTGAATCATTATATTAAAAAACAAAAAACAGCACAGAATAGCATCCATCATCCGATCTATGGACAATGACATGGTGTTGGGCTGAAAACGAGTCCTTTTTTTGTGATTCTTTAAATCATTTTGGATGTCAAACTTACTTTACTTTAGGGGGATTACGTTTGTTTCAGCAAATTAAAGAAAGACTGCACTTCAGATAGAGCGCCTAATTCAGACTGAAGAAAGGACTGAAGAGAGTTGGGACAGTGTTTTTCCTGGTTTGGTTAGTGTGTGCTGTGTCTTTAAAAGGCAGTGTGTCTCACCTTTGCTCCAGCTGCTTCATCGTGGCAGTGATCTGATTGGTCTTCTCCTCCAGACGAGTGATCATGTTGTTCTTTTTCTTCATCTCGTCATCAGACGACTAACAAATGAGAATTACTGGCTGTTATAAGTAGTAGTAATAATTACAGTGTAAGTACTGTATGAGTGCAATCAGGTAAGGGTGTGTATTAGTGTGTGTGTGTGTGTGTTTGTACCTGCATCTTCTGGTACATTTCTACATTGATGGCTTTGACTTCATCTAGTTGATGTCTCAGTCCGATCAGTGTGTCCTGTTGATAAAAAACAAAAAAATAAAAATAAAAAGGTTGAACCTTGTTTGCATGTGATGTCATGTCACTACATTCCTGTGACACAAACTGGAGATAAAGGGTAGGAGGTGATTTTCTACATGCACTATCACAAACTCTCAAAATTGGTTAGTCTGCTCATAAGGGAGAAAAATGCAAGAAATTTACCCCAAAAAACTGCCCATTTTAAAAAAAAGTTTAAGGGTATTCTATATTTAGAATATTTCCACCACTTTATTTTGCTGCCCCAAAGCCCTTTCCCACGGGGAACTGAAGCAGTTATATCAATATATTCTCTCCTCAGAGCAGCTAGACTGACTTTGGTGTTTTAACATGTTAATTTGTATCACCAAAGTCACACAGTAACACAAACAAACTAACCGATCGAGACAGCGATAGGCCAGCGAGTCCTGTGTTCTGCAAGGTAAAATGAGCGGTTTTATCAAAGGCCTCTGGTGGCTTTGAAGATAGCCATATTAGGACTTCAGTTCCCCATCAGAAAGGGCTTTCAATTCAGTTGAATATAAGAATAACGTCCAACATATGTTGTGATTTTCTGATTGTACCGCCATATCGTTTAAACTAGCACAGAAAAGGACTTTCTTCCATCTCATCCATTCTGCCTTTCACTGCATGCCCTCCATCTATCATGTGACTGCAAACAAGCTGTTAACTGTCCTGTTCACCGTCATGTGATTGCCACTACTTTCCTACAGGAAATTTTACTGTAATTTAGCATGTGCTTCTTTAATTATTTCTCATTTAAGGGCTTTTTTTAAATTGTGTATTTATAATAATTTTGGAGCTTAGCTTGAAAGGTAATATACCGTATACACATGAATATGACTAGGAGCTACCTGGAGGTAAGCTAAAATATATTAAGTACAAAGTCTATTTTGCAATGCATGATACAAATATTCCCATGTCACACGCCCTGTGGTCCTGTGCAATAATGATGCAGACATTGCTCTCCAGTCTGACAGCTGATTCACCTGAGGTTGTTGGTAATGATCCCAGCAGCCTGCAAACAAAGCTGCGATGATGCTGCTGCCATAGCAGCTGCTGTATCTCACAGCCTGGCTACAAATGTCAGCTGGTGGTGTTTATGTAGCAGAGTTCACATGATGGTGGTGAGTGGCCTGATACTTGCAGGGCTGCCAGAGAGATGGGCACGGAAGCTGGCAAGGTATTGCAGCTACATGTGAGCAAGTAGAGGCTTCTGCTATATTTTTAGTTTGCGCCACCCAAAGGGCTTGTTATCATGTGCTCGCTCATTGTGATGACACCATGTCTGAAGAGAAACAACATTCTTAGGATTTTAATTTTAACTGCTCTTAATGTCTCTTCGTATATTGTTGAATCTTCATGTTTTTCATGTCAGCTCTTGAAATCTTTTAATAAAAGTCCAAAGGAAGACACAATGAAAATGTAGGCTGACCTGTTTTTCATGAATATCTTTTTCAAGAAGTTTCATGGCCAGCTCCATTTCCTGTTTCATCGACACCTGAACTACCAGCTCATTCTCCACATCCTAAAAATAAAACCACATACACATTATTAAACAGTCACCATGTATATTATACACACACAGAGACGAGCAGTCACAGTCTGACCTGTCGGAGCTGACACTCCTCCTTCAGTTGCCTTCGAGCCTCATTGTACATCTCATCCAAACCCTGACGTGACTGTTTGTACGTATCTCTCTCCACTGTCACATCGCCTTGGGTTAGCTAGATGAATAACATCAACAGGAAGAACATGTCAGCCATATCATGCTTCAGTTTTTTATAGTCTGGTAAAAAAAATGTTGGAATATTAAGGGCTAGATCTTTACCAACACAGTCAATATTAAGATACTTATCCGTGTTTCTTTGTGTTTTCAGACAGAAATATGTTTTTGTGATTTTGTGTTTGTGCGTGTGTGACTGTGTACCTCTAACTGTTGTTGTGCCTTCAGCAGAATAAGGCTGTTTTCACTCCTCAGCTGCTGGTTTTCTTCCTGCAGTTTGATGATGTTGTTCTTGGCTATGGCTAACTGCACACAAACACAGAATAATTCAGTTTTCCAATAATGGTTACACTGACACTTTGACTTCATCGCAACATAATTAAAATGGAAAAAACTAAATTATCACAACAGAGTCTGTGATTATATAACCTGTAACAGATAATTGCTGCTCCATGAAACCTGACATTCACCTTAGCTTAAATGTAATATACAGATTTTTAGTCTCACCTCCTCTATGAGTTTAGAGTTGGACTTCTCTAGCGAGTCCACTCTGCCCTGAAGACCATGAACTGAAGAGCTAGACATACAAACAGACACAAACACAGAAATCAACTTCCTTTTTAGTAGTTGTGTTTCAATTCACAGCTGGTGTCATATGAGTTAAATTTAAACAGAGGTTTAAGGTACTGCTCAATGGAGAACTGTGTATTTGTAATAGCTGTCATTTCATGAGATTTAATGGCATTCATAGATTTAGATGACTGAACTGTCTCACTAAAGACCTACATCTGATTTTTAACACATGGTTAGCTTAGCTTATGGTCAGATGGCAGCTCATACAGCTCATCAAGGATAATAGCTGATAATCAAATTAAGAGTCATGTCACACATTAGAGGATTGTTTAGCTTTTAAGAAAATATTTACTAAAGCAAGACAGCAGATCAATCCAGGCTCATTTAAATGAGATACCAGGTTTGTGAGAAAAAAACAAAATTGAAAGAGAAAATGTAACTGACATGAGTCTGTCTCTAGGGCCAGATGAGACAGAGTTGCACTTCTGAAACAACCAGACCGGTTTAAACCTAAACTGACTGAACACTGGATCTATTTTAAAGTGCAACCAGGCATCCAGCCTTCAATTCAAGGCACCGTAAAACATCAAACACCAGCCAACAGATGTTAAGCAAAATGTGAGGTAAATATACATTAGAATGACTCAATCAGCCACTGTTTATGTACAAAACACACAGCATTTTAAACACAGGATTTTCATCCTTTGAAATTTCCCTTAAACTGAAGTTCATTACTCCAACTCCAGGAATTCTGGGGAAAACCCTGCAGACAGTTTCAATTAAAAAACAGATGTCTTACTTGAGTTGTCGGTTCAGTTCTTCTACATAGTTCTTCTGATCCAAGATGGAGGCTATCTGGCTATTCCTGTTGTCATGGAAACAGAAATAAAACCGAGCTCTGCATCACATTTAGGGGGTCTAAGAGGGCCAGTGTATTAAATAAAGAAGAGACAATAAAAGAGCATACCTCTCTTCACTCCTGTAATCATCAATGTCATTCTTCAAGTACATGGAGAAGTCGATCACCCCAACCTAAAAAAAACAAAAACAAAAAAAAAGCTAAGCTAATATCACTCAAGAGGAAACATATTCTGGAAAGCATATCTGAAATGAGTCATGCTTAAATTAGCAGGAACTAAAACACCACTAAAACATCTGCAAGAATTAGGGATGTTTACTGTTATGTAACCTTGGCTTCAGGGATGAAATCAGTGTGTGTAATGTGTGTAATGGATCACTTTGAGATCAGAAAATGACTATTTAAACAATTACATCACATTAAATGTATCTGAGTCGGGTGTGAACACAGTCTGAATAGGATGTTTGCATTATTCAGTGTGTTTGTGTGTGTGTAAGTGTTTGCACTCAGGACAAAGTCTCCACCTATGGATTGAAACATGACAACCCAGTGTCTGCTCTCCATCTGTCTCATGCAAAGATAACAAAAGAGTAAATTCTTGTCTGCATGTCTGCTTCTCCAAACCACTGAGGAGAAACTGTTTCATGTCAGTCAATAAACTAGTGGGTAAAGGAAGTAGAGACAGCAAGCACACATTAAGAATAATATTTTATTGTCTGGTGTAAATGTTTTTAGTCAAATGGTCTGAATATTGTCTCAGGGTAGTGGTTACCTGGGAGTCCAGGTCCTCGCCTTTGACACACAGGTTAGCATCGATGACGTTCAGGCCCACCAGCAGGCCCACGATCACTGCTCCCTCCTCCTCCAGCATCAGCGCTGAATTCTCATAGAAATCACTGAGGAGGAAGATACAACACATTCTCAAACACTGAATGGGTTTAAACACTGTTTCTGTACAAGCTTTAACTATCCAATAGATATAGATATAGATATCCAATTATTTTGAGGGTATTTAGAGTTATATTAACGGCTGGGTTTTTGCACAGAATTCTTACTAAAATGCTGAATTCAATTTATTTATTTATTCATATTATAAATGAAAAAATTGGAATTATGGCAACATTTTTTGATAAAATCAGAAAACTGGAAACATGACTCACTTAATAGGTTTTGTTGACAACAAGACAAATCTAGAATATCCCCAGCCTTAACCTCTAAGGGCCTGATTTGTTCTGATTTAGTTTTCATAGTTATATTATTATATAGTTATATTTGCTCAACAAGTCAAATGTACCTATTGCTATACATCTTCTTTATTTGTCACCATGTGTACATAATGTATGTGTACCTGAGAAGGTCTTTTCTGGTGATGAGGAGTCGTAGGTAGTCGGCCAGCCGTTTCTGCATGAGAGCCAGACGCAACCAAGCTCTGGCCCTGCCTAATGGAGTCCTGGAAATCACACACACACACACACAGGTGATTACACACACATATATATATTTTAGGAGCTTTTGGTGGTGGTGGTGCATTGTTAGATGTGGTTAGTTACATTCTTCTTTGTGTCCCTGAATGTTTATTGTAGTCTACTGTTAGCTCTAATGAACTGCTTTTTCCTCAATCCAACTAGACAACCATGTTTCATGTTGCCTATGTGTAATATTTAATGCATGACGTTAGTCTGGAGAAAAACAGTTTGCACTGTCCTTTATCTAACCTTTGGGTCTGTTCTTGGTGTTGCAAAAACGCTGCTCTGCTCTGCTACATGTCCCTCAGTCTGACTCAGCACCACCAAAGGAAACTAACTCTGTTCTCCATTTAAAACAACACATCTGTTCCCCATTTTTCGGCATCAGACAAGACCTGAATATTGCTCACTTGCTTCCCTGTGTGGAAGCTCTGCTATGTAGTGGCTGACAACTGAAGAACAACGTAAAGCATGACATGGAAATCGTGTGCATGACTGAGAGAGCAGGAGTTAGTTTACTATAGCCACTAGAGGATACTACTTGAATATTAATGTAACCACCCACATTGGGCACTATCAACACTCATACGTCTTATTATATGTCATAGTCGCAGTTGTAGTTAATTACATAACAAAAATGCTAATAACACAATCAGCCCGACACTGGCAGCAAAAACACGACTGCACCATTACTGATTTTGCTGTTAAAAAAAGAGTTTCAACACTGATTCTAACTAACTCTAACTGCTCGACACATGTTTGGTAAATGTGTTTATACTGGCTCTAACAGTTACAAAGGGCCAAAAGAATAATAAAAACATCGACAAGGGAGAAGCGAGACAGACTCTGAACAGATTGAAAGGAAAGGTGAAGTGAAAGTAAATCACAAACAGGTATTTCTCGGCCCTGGCTCAGGTCACGTTACCATGTTACTGATACGTGTGTCTGTGGTTGTGTTGTGGCTCGTGTTCCTTCGAGCATGATGTTAGGTTAACTGTGTGTGTGTGTGTGTGTGTGTACATAAATGCTATCCTTACTTAAGTCCAGGCAGGTCTCGTACAGAGGCTGAGATCTCAGCTGCTTCAGGACACAGTTTCTCCACCAACTCCAGAGGACCCCACAGAGACTTGTTAAAGCCCAGAAAGGACTTCTTCACTGGAGAAGGAAGAGAGACGTATACACTCACATATGAAAATCTACTTATGCCATCCTTTATGAGGCATCACACAAGTGTGCAGCTTAGACATCTAATTCTAGTAAGTTAGGATGTTGCAGATATAACCACACTAGCACAGCACCCACACCTGGCACCATTTAAAACAGCCTCTCTCCCACTTACCTCTAAGGCCATGTTTGAGGCAGTGCTCCATGACAACAAAGAACTGCTGGAGAGGTGGGTAGTCGGAGTCCAGTGTTCGTCCAAAGCTCAGAGCCGATTCGATCAGTCCTTTAATGCTCAGCTTGGCCATGTTCAGCAGGTTGGCTCGCTCCATGGCCATGGGGTCTCGCAGGGCTGCAGGACAAAAGCCACACACACAAACACTTCACTTAAAACATCCTTAAAGTACTGATGTTAGGACAAAGAATGGTCACACGGTAATGAGAAAACTACATGCTTTTAAAGGTTTCTCTGTGGGGGATAGACAGCCAGGTTAATGTCTTACAACTGGTCCTTATCAGAAACATGCTGACTATAGGGAGGTACCATAAATGTAAGGCAGAGCAACAGGGAGTATGTGAAGAGCACCAAAATACAACAAGGGGAAGAAGAATCCACCAAAATAGAGATAAACCTGTGAACAAAGAATAATCACTCAAATGATTAATCAGCTTAGAAATAAATATTTAACACTCAGTATCCACATTAGTCCAGATATGTGTCCTGTTTGCAGCTGTCTAGATAACATGATATAACATGACATAACTTGGTCTTACAGCAGCAAATCCAGGTGTAAAAACTGCAGCTACAAAAGGAGATCGTATTCAACCTTTCCATTATAGAAAAGACGGAGGAATGCTTGTAGATGCTGTACGTGTGGACCTAGAAGGTTAATGTGTAGCCAAACACCAGGACGGGGCAGAACAGTGTCAGGTGAAAATGTACAGAGATGTTTCCTAGCAATAACCAGCAGGCTGGCCTGAAGGCAGACACACTGACAGATGGACTTCTTGAGAGCTGCATGAATCTTGTGTGTCCTTGGGCAGTGAGCCCTGAGGATACTGGAAAATAAACAGCAACTGTTAGACTGCATCAAACACTGAGGATAGTACAGCGCTACCACACCGAAGTGTCTGTATGGTTGGGTTTTTTGAGTTTTAAATACGACTACGAGGAGTTTAAAGTGTGCTTAAAGGCAGCTCTCCTAAATTAATTCCCTGTGTTCTTAGTAAAAGAAAACTAAAGCTATCAGGGAACCAGTGAATTCCTTAAAGAACTGTCAGCTGTTTATAATGATTCAGATTTTACATAACTCACATTAACTCTGTGATGGACACTGGCTGATGAGAGGAAAAAACAGAGCTCTGACAAATGGAAGAAAAGATTATGACTGACAGCAGATTATTCACAGACTATTATAACATCCTCACAGTATTCTTCACTCGTCAAGCAAACACTACAAAGTAACTTACAATTCTAATTTTATAGACAAAAAAAGATTAACAAAAAGAAACGGATTAATCGATTGATTCAAATCGAATGAATGAAATATTAGATGCAGCCCTACTCGCATACAGCACAAAGTTAGTGACTTTGAAGGCAGCAAACACATACAGACACCAACAAATAATGGTGATAATCACCAAGGAAGAAAAGAAAGACAACATTTGTTCCATTTGAATGAGTGCAGCATGTGATGCTTCAGGCGGTCTCTTGTGAGGTGTGAGACAACAGCTACAGTACAACATTAACATAGGACAGGATCTAGCATCAAAGCATGAGGGCAGCACGGATCTATGAAAAATCAATTGACCACACACACACACACACACACACACACACACACACACACACACACACACACAGGGGGGTGAGCTCATGTTAGATGTGAAAGAGAGAGATGTACCAGATCACACACCAGTTGAAAATATTAACTGTGCTCCAATTAGCAGCTGGATTGATTGATTGATTGATTGCTGCTGAACATCCCCCGGGGGGATACTGGTCCGTTTAAAGGATGACAAGCACAGGCTGAAACAATCAGTAACTGGCTGTCATTAGATCTGTTACTATTAACCAGGGTCCACACTCACACACCTCCACCTCCACCCCGTCCATGCCCCCTCACAACCCCTGATAATGCTCTCTCTACCTTGGACGGCCCAGTCCCCGGGCAGAGACGTCCTGTGCTCCGACACTTTGGGCAGGACGTGAATGCTCCCTGAGATGGTCTCGGATGCTTTCCTGGCCAGAGCGAAGATAGGAGCCTGCCATCGCCCGTCTCCTCCTCCTCCTCCTCCTCCTCCTCTCACGGTGCTGCTACTGCTAGCTTTATCCACAACAACAGATTTCTCCTCCTGCAGCCTCAAAATCCCAAACACCTGAGCTTTCTCCTTGCTGTTGTCCGCTTCAGACAGAGCCAGGTCGTGCTCAGCGGGCGATGCCATGTTCGCGTACCTCTAAAATAACAGTAATAATAATAGTAATAATAATAATAATAACAATATAGCTAACTAGTGCAGGTCGGTTGCAGGAACAGGCGGATTCATACGGTTTGCTAACCGCTAGTGAACGTTATTTGACGACCATTGTGACAACCGGAGCATAAAGATACCTGTGCCACCGTCGGGCAGAGCACCGACAGGTCTAACGTCAGCTACAGTCAACAACCAAACGTCGTAACGTCCCCGGACTTGAAGCGTAGGCGTCGGTCTACATGGTGGAGGTTAGCGGCGGCGGCGGCGGCTCGTTTCGGTGGACTTGTGTTCCGTACATCGTGTCGGTGTTGTAGATATTTGTTTACACCCAGCAGCAGACCTAACCGACAGTTTGCTGCTCCCGTCGGTCCCCGCTGCACCCTGCGGAGGGGCGGTGTCAAAGAGCGCTCACAAGACACACAAAAGGCAGCACTACGTAATGCTTTTAGTGGCTGCTGTTGTGTGGACGCACCGCCCCCTGTTGGTGGAAGTCAGTACTGCAGGTAGAGGATGTTACTGTGTGTGTGTGTGTGTGTGTGAGTGAGTGAGACTTGGGAAAGGCAGAGAGCCCAGACAGCTATTTTCAGATATGTGACTAAAAGAAAAAATAGTCTAACATTTACTGTTAGAATCGTCAGAGCCACCACTAAGGCCACTATGATAATGTTGTATATTTATGGTGAAATAAAACCAATATACATTCAATACAATCACCCAGAGCCGTATCATTATATCTCAATGGCTCTGCATTCACCCAATTCTCCCCTGGGGATCAATCAATCAATCAATCAATCAATCCAATCAAGTATTTCTGATTTCTGATTACTCAAGTACTCTATATAGGTACACATTTTAGGTACTTGCACTTTACATTAAATTCCACTTTATGCAACTTTATACTTCTACTTTAAAACAATTTAGGGGTAAATATTATACCTTTTACAGCACTTTATTATTTTGACTGAAACTAGTTACCAGTTACGTTAGAAAAAATACATAGACTATAAAACATATGAAGAGTTTATAAAATAGTATGCATTGTTATAGATTAGACTACAGAACTGCATATAACATTGTTAAAATAAGCATTAATACATCAGTAATAATTATAATATAATTGTGTAACCTGTAATTTTCTTCTCTGACTGCTTTTACTTTTGATAGTCTAAATAATGTTTCTGTACTTTACTTTAATTACTTAACATTTTAAATACACGTAATAAATAAAATATAATTACACTGTTAAATAAAATAAAAAATAATATATATATACATATATTATTCAATGTTGGTTAAGATAATTTCTAAGGTCGGTGGGGTTCTGTTGTGGGAATTTGGACTCATGACCTCAGTATTTCCACAGTGAGCTACAAACCTACTTTGAATATATTATGTTGAACCCACAGAGGAATATTCTTTAATGGCAAGAGAGAGTTTGTTAGAATTTAAGAGCATAACAGTGGAAACAATAAACACCCACACAGGCTCCAGTGAAGAGGATTAGTAGATGAAGAGAGTAGGTACGCTTTGGAAAACTTGATTAGGCTTTCAAGTGCAAGCATGCTACATGAAAATTAAGGCTTCAACTAATGATTATTTGAATTATGAACTAATTTACTCATTATTTTCTTCCTTTTATTGTAGTCTGTAAAATGTCCTGAAAGCTTCCGGGGCCGCTTTTGGCATGATGATGATGTGCATTTATATTGCCTCTGGTGACTCTAATGGCTCATTCCTGACTCGTGGAAACGTATTGTCTGCTGTGAAGTTAGTTGGATGGGTTTCCTCAACCTTAAACAAGTTCAAGTTTCAGCAGCCCTACTCTAAACCTAATTTGTGTTAGTGCAGTGATATGAATCCACTGATTGGTATGGATCTGTCGTTTATGAGCCATTAGAAGAACATTTAGTGAGACCAGGTTGCAGGAGTTATCATCATGTAATACCCAGTGTCATTCATTCAAATAGCACTTGCCAACCTACCTTGGCTGTAGGCTAACCGCTCCATACTCTCACTATGAGTAATGCCCCAGCGGTGGAGACTCTGAGGGGAGTACATGCTGATTGGGACCCTCCTCTGCCCACTGCCTCGTTGCAAAGAAGAAAAATCAAGCAGATCCCTGAGTCCTGAAGTGGACCTGGTCTGGTTTCTGTTTCCTTGGATTGTCTGATTTCCTGAAACCAGATGGCGCTCCCTCCTGAACTGTAGTGGACTTTCTCATATGATGTGTTCCACTTTGGTGAGGTTTGGTCACAGTCTCAGGGTCTGCTGGGCTTCTGCCTGGGACAAAAACAGACAGCGGAGACAGACCTAATGAGATCTTAGTACCAGGGAGATTGTGAGAGTGTAAAAACAACATTGCTCTTGTTTTCTGCAAACAAAACAAGGACATCCCAATTTTGTTAAATACAAAAACACCCCTGGCTGGACATTTTATGCCTGGTTGCCAGTATAACTAATGAATAAAATAAAACTAAATGGCTCTTCAGTGTTATTATCAAAATGCAATTGTGTCATACAGCCTCAAAATGTATTCCCCGTCAGTCGTCTCTGTCAGAGACATCCTTGCCTCCCATTCCTCCTCACTGATTCAAACAAACACCACTCATACAGACACCACAGGATGAGATGAGACCTCTCACTGTCATTAATAATATATTCCATAAGCTTCTTCCCTTGGGTATTCTACTAATGCTGGTTTAATGTGAAAATAGTACAGTCACCACCAAAAGCAACAGTTTTTTTACCTTTACTTCAAGTAGCGTATGAGGACAGCATCCAGCGGGCCTCCACCTCACCATAGTTTGGGTGTAAAAGCTTCCAACCACACCAACTGAAGAATGTTAGCTCCATTACAACACAGAGAGAAACTGTAGTAGCATGGAGGCTACAGTAAACTACATTACAAGGACCACTTCTCTTGTTCTGCCTGCCATACTCTCTCGCTCTTTCTCTCTAATAGCTCAGGGCTGACCACAGATCATATGACCGCTTTCTTGCAGATCCGTACACTCCTTATCCGTTTGTATACTGCCCGTGTTAATTCTCTGAATGGCTGCTTTTCAGTCCACTCAGCAGATTAATTCATAATTCAGGCCGCTGCTGCCTTGTTGACATTTCTTTCTCTGTTGACTGATTACTGCCTCACAAGTTACTTCTCTGAATCTGTAGGTCTTATACATCCCCTGATTTTCTGACTTATTGTTTGACTTGACTTTTGGCTCTACTCTGCTACCTGTTTGCTTCCCTATCAACATTACAAGAGTCACTATCATACAGAACGTAAAGCCTCTTAATCTTTTTGTCTTTCTGCAGGTTTGTTTGCATGTGCTTTTGTGAGGCTGTTTATACTCTAGGTAGCTACCTTTGCAAAAAATGCCAATAGTAACAACAGACAGCTAGCATTTAGGCTTAATCTGTTTGAATTTATTGTAATTGATTCAATATTTTCACCCTGATGCAAGCGAAAAAGAGAAACATATTGCATTGTGAATCTGATGTGTGCGTTCTACATAGGAGTTCAGGTCCAAACTATACGTGACACGGGCTCTTTTTCAGTTCATCTCTGCATCATTTTTCCATCTCTCTCCTCCAACCCACCACCCATGTCTCTGAACCACACCTAAACAAATACACTTCTAAACCACTTCCACTTCCAGGGTGGTATGCCTGTACCATATAACCATGTTAATCACTATAGGAACACACCCTTCTGCACGACAGACAGCCGGAGCAACCAATCAATAGTCTTCAGTGAAACCTCTTCCCACCAATAGGGGTTGTGGTGCTGTTTCATCGTAGTAGCCGGCCTTTCATTCTGCAGTGCTGGAAGTGGAGTGGTGCTATGCTCACAGATTCTGATACCTTTATTAATATAATTTTGATTAGCAGTAAACAGGAAAAAGTGCTTATACCGTCCTATAATAGCAGAAATGGTAAGAAGTACATTTTACAAAGTAGAAGACAAAAATTAATAAATTATTAAGTATCATCAGAACCTTACAGTAATCACTGTATATGTGAGTGCTGTAATTATACCAACTATATGTTTCACACTATCATCAAGGGCATGTACTGTATGTAAGCATGTTAATATTGTATCTCACCTCAGAAAGTAGAGAGTTGATCCTTATTTCTGCAGCTTGTCAGTAGTCTGGTCCCAAAAAAAGGATAAGTCTATGCTCTGGTCCAGTTTGCAGTCTGAGGCAATGACTCGGTGGAAGCTTCTGTAGTTCTGAAGCAGTTAGCCGGTACACGCTCTGGAGACATCACCGACAGAAACCACAACCATCACCCCACACAGCACCCAATGACAAGAGAGCAGGAAGCCTGGGAGAGGGGGAGGGGTTTGGGGGTAACACAGCAAAGCGGGGAGAGGGAGGAGGCTGGTAGGGGGTTGAAAACAGTGAGGAGGAGAGGCGAGGGGTGATGGGTGGGGGGGAGCAGAGTGTTGACAGACAAAATACAAACACAGCAGCAGGGAGAGAGTAAAGCAAGAGGGGCACTGACTTATGCTCATAAATACACCCCACCCACACAACAGCATAATACACTGTTCATATGAATGGAATACATGAAGACATGAATGACAAATGTTGGTGAGCAGTGCTTTCTGCAACAGAGGAGGGTAAAGCCTGACGTTATCGACCAATCGCTGACTACGGATTGAAGAAAGGGAGGTCCTTGTTGAGATGGACCAGAGATTGGTGTATGTGTGCAGAAGTGAATGACTTTGCAGCTAAGACAATGAAATAGTATCACTGCAGCTAGAAAGTCCTCTCAGTGAAACATAAGGCTGATTCTACAAATACTTTCCTATAAACCCACAAAGAATAAAGAATGAGCAGCAAAATAAAGGACAAGGTTTTTGTACACAGAGAAAAACAAATACTTATATTTTTTATATTTTTATATATTTTTTTACCATAAAATACGTACTGTCTCTTTATATACATACTCTCTAATGTGTTTTTCTCAATCAAAATACTAGAAAGTTACGTACGGACATAGGGTGACCAATTCTATACATCACATTTTAGCAAAAGCTACTCTTTGATTTGAACAGATTCCCTTTTTGAAATATATAGACCAACAACAGGAAAATGAAAATATTTATTTGCAAAAAATATACAGTACAAATGTCTCCTTTCAGAAAGATAAAGGAGAGATATTTATGTTCAGTCGGTGAGCTCTGTCTAATCTACAAAAATCTTTTGAAATGAAGGAGGCAGCAATGAAGAGCAGAATAATTCTTGGAGCTAATTTGGATGAAATTTCCTAACTTCTCCAATTTGTAGCTACATTGGTAAAAAAAAAAATGTACCCCAGGTCAGGAGTTTATCCGACAACCTTGACACTGAGCAGTGAAAGACAGGTTAAATGTTAAGCAGTAATAATATTGTGTAGTTGTGGTATTTGTGCGTTCTCAAATTACATTTATATTCAAACATATCCTTCGATGTAATACAGTCTGATACAATAACATGACAAAATACTGCCTCAAAAATTAGTTGAGCTTTAAAAGGGTTATTATAGGGCTGTTGTGTTTGATTGCATAACATTTCCTGCACATGTACCTAATAAACTAACTGTTTACTTTAATTTCTAACTAGTAACAAAAGGGTGGCTCCTTCACCTACATTCAAAATAAAGACACTTCTCTCTGTTTTCAAACCAAGAGACAAAGTTCTTGATGGACAACTCTGATAACAGTGATTTATAAAGATCTACATATTGATATGTTTAATAGCAGAGGTGATCCAAAAATAAATATTAACAAGTTGTAATGGTTAAAAAAATATATTTACAGGTTGCATGCTTGAAGAATTGTACTCGTACAATAACAGTGTTTTTATTGCCATGTAATGAGCCCTTTAGTCCTCAAACTCTGCAGCATAAAGCACTTGCTGGAATTTCATCCGCACCTCCATTCTTTTTTTAATGGTAAGCCTCTTCAACGAGGGCAGAAGGCTAAGCAGAAACAGTTCATCTTCATCTCTGAGGTTGGTGAGGGCGTCTGCAGAACTTATCTCAGTTTCTGTGGTGGTTTGCCTTTTACGTTTCAGAGGGACTCCGATCTCCTGATGGCTGTTTGGACAGTGCTCCGCAAGAGAATAGCTAGTACTGACGACGGGCAGGGGACAGTGCTTCTCGTCTTTATCTCGCTCTTTCTCCAGGTCATCACCACTTCCATTTCCCTGTGTGGCATTAAAACAGCATATAGCATTACCGGTTAATACAGACGACAACACTAATAACAGGCTTCAATTTATTTGGGGGGTCAGAGCCGAACATATTAAAGTGCCTTATAACCTTTAAACAAAAACAGGTTGACAGGATTGACTGGGTTCATACTTCCTTGCAAGTTGACTGATGGAAATAATTATTTGATCATTTAAAAAAAAAAAAAAGCAATTTTGTATCATATTGTTTTGTATAGTATTTCATATTATTACTATTTTACTACTTTAGAGCCGGACTGATTAATTGTCAGGTGGATATTATGGGCCAATACTAGCTTGTTATAGATATATCGTATTGGCTAATAAGCAACAACTAATGAAAGTATAGCCAAAGATATTTATTACATTTATTATATTACATTAGAGGTCATTTATACAAACGATTTGTCTACCAGAGAGTGTAAAACAAGTACACTGTTGCATTTGAAAACTGTCCAGCGCAGTAAACACATTACAACTCTTTAATAACAACATGTAACGACTGTGCACATCCCAAAGTTGTTTTCAGTTATGCTCGCTCAAGATTAGCATAAGTCTTACATGCGGTATCAAAAATGTATGTTTATGTTGTATTAAAAAAGGAATATCTGACATATATCATTTTAAATGATTAAAGATCAATATCTCTTTCAGCCTATAAAATCCAGTATGTCAGGCTCTACTACTTTACATAACATTGGTTACAGTGTTTTGAAGTTCTGCTCTGATAAACAGGCACTGCGGTGGGTTTTGTCGTGTGTCGCTGTGTCCCACCGTCTACTGTCAGTGGTCCCACCGAAATTGGTTGTTGACTATATCCATTGCTTTTATTTTGAAAACTAAACCCAGACATCCTGTGAGATGTCAATAATGCATTGACAGTACACTGAATGTTGATGCCGGTGATGTTTTCATGCGTTTTAGCCTTTAAAAACCCCCCAAGGTAATTATCGTTAGGGATATATTGTTGTGACTATATATTTATCCAAGCACAAAGCTGAACTGTATATAAGTATATAAAGAATAATCACAGAGTAAATGTGATTGTAGCTAGCTTCTTGATAGCAGTGGTTATATATCTCCACAGGCCAGGTTAAAATAAATAGTTAGCTAAACACACACACACACACACCTCGTCGGTCTCTCCCGTTCCGGTTCCTGGTCTGGGTTTGACATAGGCGCTGAGCCAGGCCAGCTGGTTGTACAGCACCGGGACGGGCCTCTCCACCGGGTTCTCGTCGTCTGTCAGCAGGGGGAAGTTTCTCTTGGCCATTCGCTTCTTCGCTTTGCAGAACTTGTCGCGTAGGTTTTTCCATTTGAGCTTCACCTCCTCCTCAGACTTTCCCATGTTGTCTGCGATCTCTCTCCACGACAGGTGGCCCTTCAGGTTGTCTTTGTAGTCCCGCCGAGACTGGTCGTACAGATT